TCAGTGATTAAAGACCATAAAATACAAGAAAGATTCATCTAAGCACAGGAGATTAGGTGACAGTTCTCTGCAGTTGAAAACAATTAACAATATCAGCATTCAGGAATCATAAGATTTGGTCATGAACTGTTGAAGATCTGGTATTCATGAACTGTAAGATTTGGTCATGAACTGCTGAAGAACTGGCATTCATGAACAGTAAGATTTGTCCACTGTTGAGGAACTGGCATTCATGAACAGTAAGATTTGTCCACTGTTGAGGAACTGGCATTCATGAACAGTAAGATTTGTCCACTGCTGAAGAACTGGCATTCATAAACAGTAAGATTTGTCCACTGTTGAGGAACTGGCATTTATAAACTATAAGATTTGTCCACTGTTGAGGAACTGGCATTCATGAACTGTAAGCCATGAAATGGCCATTTTCTGTTCATGTACCATTCAAGAACAGTTCTTGATATTTTTAACCGGTGGAAAATGTAAAACTCATGAAAGTTTAGTTTTGGTATAAGTGATCTATGAAGCTTTTCTGAAGACAAGTTTGTTTACAAAAAAAACCAGTCTGTTGTAATCTCTTTGTGGAGAAAGATTGCTCTCAAACTCTGAATTTATTCTGCAATTGAGTCCAACACCAACCCATGTTTATGGATCCTTTTTTGTTATGAATTATAAATCCATAAACATAATAAATGCAGACCAGTTCATTTAACAATTTGACTAAGAGTCCTTAATTTTTCACAAAATCTTTTTTCTATATCAAAATGGTGGTCAGAAAATGCCCTTTCTTCAATGAAGTTATTCAGACAATACTTTCAAAGACTTTTCACTACAAATGTAGACTATACCACAAACCTTGAATTTTTAAATTGCTATTTTGCCTTTAGTGACTTTGGCCACTGCCATAGTGTCTCCAGTATTACTACATTCATAACATGAGCAGGCAGCACAAACTAAGAGTGGCAACCAGAGACAGGTCCCACTGCAGCTATTTATTGGTATTTTTGTTCTGACTGGAACTCTTGAAGCTGCTGACAATCAGCCTGACAGAGCTTTAGGATGATCCTGTTCTGTCTGATCAGATTCATGCAACAACAGACACTACAATGATAGCAATGCCAATGAAGCTGATGGTGAACAAATGAAACATTTACCAAAAGACAGCTCATATGACAGTGCCACAGCTATGTCAATGATGTCAACAGCAAATGTTTCTGCACCACATTATCAGCAAGGTACACTGCAACATTGAAAGGAAGAGACATCAATGTAAATCAGGACTCGACCAATGTCAATTTGGTTGTTTTTAGTGATGCTGGCCATTGGCCCAAAAAATAAAATGGATGAACTTAGAACTCAATTCTTTTTGACAGCTCTGAAACTCTCCAGTACAAGGATGGACCAATTGTCATTGTGGATATATGGTATATTAATCCATAAAATTAGTCTTCCTTGAATGATATATTAAAACATATCTCTCGAAACATTAACCATTCATTTCATGTTCTATCACACAATTTTTAACCTAAATATAATGGTATTAGACAAAACTTTGATGCTGAGAATATATTCAAGTTGATGTAGGTTCCAAGACATATCTGATTTGATATTGTTTTCTACAGCTAAAACAAGACCATGCTGATTTACAAAAGGGGTATTATGCTACCTCTGGTATCCTCTGCAAGTGATCTTATGGAAAACAGTTACATGTACTTTGATTACTTGTAGCAATAAAAAATTTGTTATTACAACCTACAAAACTTGACAGCATAGAAAAAAATGGAAATAATTAGGAGGATATAATGCAAGTTATATATGTTACATGATATTATATTGCAAGTTACATATGTTACATGATATATTGCAAGTTACATATGTTACATGATATTATATTGCAAGTTACATATGTTACATGATATTATATTGCAAGTTACATATGTTACATGATATTATATTGCAAGTTACATATGTTACATGATATTATATTGCAAGTTACATATGTTACATGATATTATATTGCAAGTTACATATGTTACATGATATTATATTGCAAGTTACATATGTTACATGATATTATATTGCAAGTTACATATGTTACATGATATTATATTGCAAGTTACATGTTACATGATATTATATTGCAAGTTACATATGTTACATGATATTATATTGCAAGTTACATATGTTACATGATATTATATTGCAAGTTACATATGTAAAGTGACAAGAGCTCATACTCAGTAACAAAGAAAAGAGTGAAAGCCAACAAGCTTTATACATTTTAACAAAACAATTTATTTCCCTAGGCAAAAATGTACAAATTGGTAAACAGGACTTAAAGTTTCTGAATATAATCCAAAATTTGATCCTGAGAATGAAAACACAAGTCGTATCAATAAATAATCCAATTAGAATCCAGGTTTGAGTCCTGACGATGTACAAATATGGAAGGCGATAACGTCAGATGTGGTCCAATGAACGAATATCAACATTTTCTAACTTAAATCACAGTCTTTGTTTCCAAATAAATTTCCATGAATATTTGTCAGATTTTTTTTATCAAAAACGAAAGTCAACTTGTTGAGTTTCCTGGAGAACAAATTATTAAATCCAAAATCAAATAAACAAACAATCTAACAACAAATAAAAAAATACACTTTTTTCCTTCAAGATGTTAGAATGACTCTGCTCGAAGAATATAAAAAATGTGTATTTAAAATCCCAAAGCATCATTTTAAGATTGGTCAGTGGTCTCTTATACTACATGAAATTGAGCATGTACACCAATTTGTCCCCACTTAAGAACCAATCATAAAAAACATTTACACATAGTGATCAGCAAAGAAAATATGCCCCTGATACTGACCAATCATTTTAACTTCCTACTGACACTGTTGCCAGCCCAAGACACACTAGGGTAACTAAATTAATTATCATATAATATTTCTTTATTAATTATCATATAATATTTCTTTGTCTTAAATAAACAAACTGTTAAAAGAAAATATTCATTACTGAAAAACAATCCTGAATCAGACAAAAATATTCACTGCAATAAAATGCAATGAAACAAAAATGAAATTAAAAAAAAAGAATTTCAAAAATTACACACTAGCAATTTAATCATGTATATGTAGCATTTATTACAAATGATCACACAGCCAACATAATTATTTTAAAAAAACAAAACAGCTGTACAATCAGTATTGTAACTATTAAAGAATGGAAATAAGGACATAATCAAAGCTTTCTTGATTTCTTTGTTTTATGTTATGCTTACCCTGGTATAACATGGTTCACTTTGTTTATGCTACAGTTTACTATGGTATAACATACATTTTACTTCATTTTTGATGCTACTTTTCTCTATGGTATAGCACAGTTTACTTCTGTTTAAGAGGCTGAGGACTCACTATTATGGCACATTGCCATCTCACTTCTGTCTGTGTGGGTTCAAGTCTCAGGTTAGGCCAATATGGGTATGTGAGAAAGCTTGCCAGAAGCTTCTCGTGGGTCAGTGGTTCTTTCTGGGGCATTCCCAGGTTCTTCTTCCACTACTTATACTGGACATCATGCATAGCCTATCTTGTGCTGAAAAATGGCATTAAATCCTACAACAGTTTTTGTAACAGTTTACTATGATACAACATACAGTTTACATTGTTTTATGCTGCAGTTTACTATGAAATAACAAATTTCACTTCATTATCACAATTTTTACTACACTTTATAACATAGTTGACTATGGTACAACAGTTTATTTGGATATATGTTACAGTTTACTATGAAATAACAAATTTCACTTCATTATCACAATGTTTACTACACTTTATAACATAGTTGACTATGGTACAACAGTTTATTTGGATATATATTACAGTTTACTATGAAATAAATTTCACTTCATTATCACAATTTTTACTACACTTTATAACACAGTTGACTATGGTACAACATACAGTTTATTTGGATATATGTTAGTTTACTATGAAATAACATAAATTTCACTTCATTATCACAATTTTTACTACACTTTATAACACAGTTGACTATGGTACAACATACAGTTTATTTGAATATATGTTACAGTTTACTATTTTTTCATGTTGCAGTTGACTACGGTAAAACAATGTTTACTTCAGTTTACTATGGTACAACATACAGTTTATTTGGATACATGTTACAGTTTACTATTTTTTCATGTTGCAGTTGACTACGGTAAAACAATGTTTATTTCAGTTTACTATGGTATAAGATACAACTTGCTCTAGTTCAAGAAAATAGTTTTTAGCATTTTATTATAAAAAAAACCCTTAAGAATGTTTTGGATTTGCTGAGATTGGGGTGGAAATAAATGGCATCTGGTTTGTGAGTTTCAGAATTTCGGATAGTAGATAATAGTTGCCTCTCATAGAAAAGTATCTGTGGCTCCAGTCATCCTGAATTGCTTGAGTCCTTGAAGTGCTATATGCAGTAAGTATAATTCCAGGGTCCTTCATTATTCCCAGCTGCTACCATTGCATACAGAGATTTGTTTATTTAGTGAAAGCAATGAAAATGTTTCCTATGCTACCTTTATAACAAATATTCCAGATGTACGTGGGTTTATGGTCTGGGAGTTACTATATCATGAATAATCTATTTAAAAAACAAAATTTAAAGTTTGTCATGATGATATATGCCTGAAACTGTTGCCAAGGTTCATCTGACAGACAGGCTTCAGATGAATGGCCTTTCTTTGCCCATATCCAACCCATAGAATAAGTGAGTATGAATGTGATTTTATATTTCTAATGTAGCTTTAACAATTTTTCAGTCATATCACTAGGATGTCTGCAGTGTGGCAGTTTATAGTGATGTTTAGCACTGGGGCAGACATGTAGCATGATGTCCCACCCAGTCACATTATCCTGACACCAGGCTGACCAGCCCTAACACTAACCTCTTAATGCTGAATGCCAAGCGAGGCAGCTGTTAGTACCATTTTTTAAGTCTTTGGTATGACTTGGAAAGGATCGAACCCACGACCTCCAGCATCCAAGGCAGATGCTCTAACCACTAGGCCAGGGGAGTTGTAGAATAATAAATAAAGATTACATGGGCCACTATAATTGTGCATAAGGCAGATGAACTACAGGGGCAGGTTTTACTTGAAACCCTGAAAATCTACTCCATTTACAGCCCAGATATATTAAGTACTGAAGTTTCCTCTGATGTTACCCACAGCATCTGTGTGTTTGTGTGTGTGATGACATGCTGCTAAACCAACAAACCTTCAGATGATATATGCAGTTCATTCCAAGTACATGAATGAAAAGTGTGGTCAGATATCTGGCATTAAAGAAATACCTTTGCTGTGGAACAATCTGGGTTACATGTTTACCATACATACCTATTTTTATTAAATCAACAGATAACTACCAACACTCCTGGGTCCTTTTGAGGATTCTATATTGACACTAAGTGTTAAATGGCTATAAAGTGGTCCATTTCACCTTCATTTGACAACTTGATCAATCTGGTGGTGTAGGTTGAAAAGAGCACCAAGTGACCCTACAGTTGACCTTGCCTGAATTAATTTCTCTGTTCAGATAGTTTTTACTGGGCAGACAAAGAACAGGTAGGTAGGTCAAAACTCTTTAGAAGAATGAATTCATCCCCTATCTGGTGTCATTTCAAATAAAAAGAAAATACTATGGAAATAGTTATGTCCAGCACTGCTAAGATGGAGAAAGAATTGAAAATGAATAACTTCAAGCTCAATAGCTTTTGTCTATAATGCATGCCATGATGCCATAAATCAAAGTCATTAATCTCACTATCCAGACAACTTCATTTTCTAGACAACCAGAGTTTCAAAATAAATAATTTTCATTATTACATAAAATTTCTGAATATTAATTACTATTTCAAAAACTATGGATGAAAGAAGAAATAGAGTTTGAAAAGTGTGGATTCTTTCACTTGTACAACAAACGATGATCATCCTAAATATAATCATCATAGAAGTTTAACTGAGAACTATTCTGCCTTGAATTTATTTCAGCTTTCAACTTTGTCACATTCAATAATTATCATCAATATGTTACAGTTCATAATAGATTGGTTATCATCAATGTGTTACAGTTCATAATAGACTGGTTATCATCAATGTGTTACAGTTCATAATAGACTGGTTATCATCAATGTGTTACAGTTCATAATAAACTGGGGATAAAAAAAATGTGAATTTCTAATCTTTTTATGATGTAAAAGAAGTTTAATTTTCAAACACTGCTCATTCCTGTTTGATAGGAACACTATCATCAATGTTAAAAAAAGAACATTACAATAATTTTGAAAAAATCTGAAATTCATTAGCATATACATATTGAGGGCAAAGTAAAACAAAATGGACTGGTAATGGAGTATAATGTATTAGACTTTCACAAGAGTTTGTTTAACTTGAGAATGTTTACAACTGTCCTCAGACATTTAATTCCCAAGTTAGTTAATTTTAATCCAAGAGTTGATGGATCAACACAATATTCAGTATATCATTTGAAGATATTCCGTTTATTCAAACTTTTTAGGCAATGCTGTGCCAAATGGAGACAGAATATACATGTAAAACTGATAACAAAGAGCTGGTGGACATCTGATAGCAAGTACATTGTGGGAAAAGTTTAACCAGTATAAACTACAGGATTGGTGAGCAGGGCTATGAGACAAATTAGCTCAAAAAGCACCTTCATTAAAGAAATAAGTACAACTAATTCCTCATAACTGCACCCAAGTGGTCATCCTTCATGATGGCCCTCTCTGCCTTCCTTGTATCCCACTTCTACCCTATGATGGTAATAAATCCAAAAGTAAAATAAAGTGCTAACACTTCTGAAAATAGTACAGTGATTTGTATATAATGTTTCTGATGATGACAATAATATGCAACAAGTATAACTGCAATCCACTAAGCAATGCAAAAGTACCATTTACAAAATTTTGCCATACACTGCATCCAGCTCCAAGTAAAAAAGGGCAATAACAGAAAAAAATACAGGAATAAATTGTAAAAATATAAATCTTTATATGACTGTTACCTACCAAGTTCCACTACAATCAGGTTTGATAATGCAAATTAACATACTGAAACTCTTCTGTGGGACTTGGACAGCTGGAGTACATAGTTCTACACTGTCTATTAATGCTGGTGATCAACTAATATAACCATGTGTTTACAAAGTGACTTTTTATTATTTATGTAGCTGACTACCAGCTTGAGTCAGGGATTTGTATTCAACCTTTTAGGCTGCTGCCTTTGATTAATCACCATACACTTTGTTTTGCACAGCAGGAATAATTTTAAAACATTTTTATGGGGCACTCTACAGATATTATGAACTTCTGTGAGACTAACAGGTGTGATGTTCACATCTGCAACATACATAATGGATAGAATGTTGGCATATCTCTAAGCTGATTCATTTACTGTGGCTGAAAGTTTATTTGGATACTGTAACTGTAGAAACTAAGCACATGCTCATATGTGCTCCAAAAATCAGTTTGAATTAGCCTGAAGCACACAATCAATTATTAACAAATTTTGCCAAAATGGGTAATACCAGCTTCAGAAAATGCAATGAATTACTATATATATCAGTGCAAACAAAAGTTACTGGTCCTTTTTTTTCTCTATATACCAAATTATATCCATTAGTCGTACACCCAATTAAAGTTATTTTAACAATGCCTAAGATATACAAGGTATTTTATAAAAAGCCAGTATAAGCCAGTATAACCTGAAAAAATCTTTTTCTTTAAAAATCTAACACAATGTAAAACTCAAAACTGTGGAGTGTCACCTTATCAATTTCAAGTCTTCGCTTGAATTGAAATTCATTTTGATGCTATGATATAAAAAGAAGAATTAGTCAAATTTCCTCATCCAAAGGAAACCATCTTATCTAGAGGAAGTCCAAGTGTGGTAGATGATTCACAATCACTTCCTACAAATACAAAATGACTGCCACCTCATTTCTGCCAGGGAAAAAACAAATTGCTCACAACACCCACTTTAATTCTACAACTTAACATTAGGTGACCATTAATTGTGGAGTTGGTAATCTGTTCCCTTACCATTTCCATCCTAATATTTTTCATACTGTCATTCAGCAGCTAGTTACTTATATCAGTATAAAATAAGATATAACAAACATGTTCCCCCATGTAGGATTTAAGTACTTTAATAGATCATTTTAAAGTTAGTTCTGCATGCAATTTCTATTCCTTTGTATCTAAATTAACCTTGTTTGGATGCAAATACTTCTGGGAATACACACCTGTTAGGTCTGACTTAAACAAACAGTAACCACAAATCCAAATTAGATGTGACATATTTCTCTGCATGACACACTGGTAAAATAACCTCCAAGTTCAATGCAAATCAACAAGATGTGAAGCAACAGAAAAATTTTATAAAATTATGTAATCCATACATGAGAAACAAATTGGAAGGTCTTCTTGAAACTAATATATGTTATCATGACTGAGCATGTTGATGGAATAAAACAATCAGCATAGAACTGGTTGGGTTGGGACATGAAGTAGATTTCAAACAAAATGAGTTAGCCACCATATTTTTTTAAAAATGTACAGAAAGTGAGCATATATTGTGAAAATGTTTTTCCTCACAAACAGAAATGAGAGCATTGTTTCTGCTAAGGCTGACTCAGTTAAAAGAATGAAAATGTAAACTAATAATTATTCATGACTGCTGAATGATAAGTAATTTGTAAATGGTAAGTATCATTATCATTTGGCATCAATTCTCAACATCATGTATTGTATCAATGTATAAATAATTCATATCATTCCTCATGGCCGTCTAATATGGAGGAGGAAAAACCCAATACGACCACTGGAAGTAGGTGTCTGTATGTGTGATTTGGATTTTTAACATAATTTTTTTTAAAAATTCAGTCATATTGCTACAAAGTCTGCAGTGTGGCAGTTTATAGTGTAGCACTGGGGCATCATGCTGCAGACATGTAGCATAATGTCTCATGTAGTCACATTATCCTTACACTACCACTACGTTGACCAGTCCTAACACTAACCTCTTAATGTTGAGCACCAAGTGAGGCAGCTGCTAGTACAATTATTATAAGTCTTTGGGTTCAAACAAACAACCTCCCACATCAGAAACGGATGCTCTAACCAAAAGGACACCTGAACAGTCAACCACAGGAAGAATCAACCAACAGAAAATTACCAGCAAGTATTCTCATATATCCACATTGGTTAAACCAAGACTTTAACTCACAAAGAAAAAGGTGAGAGGTGTGAGTAATTTGTACAGTTGAGAACCTCTGACCATTTTTCCAATCCAGGCTCCATCACCTTCTCATAATTAATTTTTAATTTTAACCAAGTTCCATATGTATATCTCCTCCTCATTCATGTTGATGAATTTTTAAAAAAAACTATTAAAATATGTTAAACATCATTGACATTTTGTACTGCATGTATTTATCTAGTACCTGATGGTGAAGATACACTGGTGGGGTAATTCATTAAAAAGCAAGCAAGTATGATCACTGATTCCAAATCCAAATAATAATAATAATAATAATAATAATAATAATAATAATAATAATAATAATAATAATAATAATATTTAAAGATTAAGCTCATTGGGTCAACTACCCAATCTTCCATGAGGCCTTCTACAATACTAATATCATTTTTTGGTCCTGTTTTCCCCAAATCATCTGAGCATGCTTTTCATCAGGAAAACAAAATCTAAAAATATGTGTCCACAGAAAATATGACAGTACAGTGCCAATGAAAAAGCTACACAGTAAAATCATGATTGCTAACAAGATTATTTTTCTTTGCACTACTATTGCATTAAGTACTATATTTTTGCCCTTTGAAATGATGTTTTCCCAAAATTTGATAGGTGAGGTACAGTGTCCTCCAGCATACAGTAGCATATTGTTGACAATATCCCATGTCAAGATATCCAGTTCAATGTTAAGGGTCACAAGTCAATATATTTGAATTATCATATTAATGGAGGGCATGGC